ATGATATTAATGCGTGCGTTCTACCCGGAAATTCCTGCCCGATTGCAAACTTTATTAACTTTCCTCTCTGAGGATTCTCTTCCTCTTTTTTATTTATCAAGCCAGAAGTATGAATGATTCGTGAGTCATTCCCGACTGAGTCCGTGTTTCCCGATGAGAAACGTGTACGTTTGAAGTGTTGCGTGGAATACTTAGAGACACCTAAATTGCAACCATTATTTTATAATGGACCCTCATCGCTGTGTTAATAGGAAACTGCGCACAGGAAGGTCTATCGATAAATCAACGTTATTGATTAACAATCATCGTCAGCGATAAGTCAAAGTGACAAAACTGGACAAAACTGCCGTTTAATTAATTCTGCGAAGCGGCCACTGTCTAACATATTACGAACCGAGAGCAGTTGTTATCCGATCAGTTATCAATTAAAGTGCACACACGTGACAAGTGAACCACGAGCGCAGACTCGACTTGGTTTTCTTCGCGTTTCGTGCGACACCCCTTCCTTGCTACCCAGCGCGCCTGACAATGCGACAATGTGCCGAGTCCGAGTGTGAAACCCGAGTGCGAGTATCGAATACTCGACAAATACGCGACGCGGAGATCATATTCTCACTATCTCCTTTGCTCTCTCCTCTCTCTCTCTCTCTCTCTCTCTCACACACACACTTTCTTGTTCTCCGTCTCTATTTCTCCGCGACAGCCGACAGTTTTATCGTCTTTCTCGTGCGAGAGGAAACTGCAAGTCGCCGGAAAGATTGCGGCTTCGCGCGAGAGGAGAGTTGACTTTATTAGACGTCGACGGACGTGAAGGAGGAAGAGGAAGAAGAATAGATGGAAGGGACTCAGACAGGAAATTAATTCGATTCAATTCCATGAGGAAGAATCGAGCCGCAAGATATCATTCGCGCGGAGATAGCAAGCAAAGCAACATTTGTGTGCGGACACTATAAATAAAGAAATATAATAAAATAACGTAATGCGGGCAAAGAAATAAAGAAACATAAAAGAAGAGGCTCATTCTAAATTAATATATAATTACAAGAGAGAGAGAGAGAGAGAGAGAGAGTCAAATAATAGAAACTAAAACTATAATCTTGCACCTTTCTTACTTAACGAAAATATATATTAGAAAAAAATATATCACGTACTGTGTAATCCTATTATCGACTGTGTAAGAATTAGTTTGCAATCGAATGTACATCTCGTTCATTTGGAACGATCCAGCTATAAAGAACAGTCGCGACGCGGCTGAAAGGGTTAAAACGTCTTGGAAAGCCCGACGAGTGTCGCCTCGTACGTTTATTGTTCCAGCAAAGGTGAGATTGTGTGCGAGACGTAGTTGGTGCTCTTCTTCTTTATCGCGATCATGAGCAGTCGCAGAGCGAAGGTGAGAAAGAGAGCAAAGTTTTATCAGACATACAAGTTTAAGATTGCTTGAGCCAATCAAGCTTTGAATTAAGGAAGTCTCTCGGGACCGTCTCCATGACTACCACCATCCCATCTCTGTATTCCCCTTTCTGTCCTACCCCAATAGCACACATACGTACATACAGCCTCTCCTACTTCACGTCCAACCCTCAACCCCCGTGAGAAAGGTCACGGGGTCACGTCGTGCAAAGTCTCCCTGCCGGTGCATTCCAGCCACTATCATCAGCCCCCTCGTTGATTACCCGAGATCGTAGTTAAGTGATGTTTCACTGTCGCACCCGGCGAAACGAGAGCGAACCCCTCGCAGGTCGGTGCTTCAGAGTCCGCGAGCTTACACTCGACTTGCGGATGCGTAATTAATTCGAACACCCGACCCTCTGCCCCGTGACGGTGAATTAATATTCCGGGAAAACTGCAACTGTAGCCTGAAATCCTCTTAATTTCAGGCACTTTTATCGACTTTTGCGGAAAAACGAGAGAAAAAGAAATGCCTCACGGTAGCCGCGAAGTAAAAAAAAGAAAAACAAAGGAAAAAGAGAAACGCGCGCGCGCGCACGCTCAGCACCCCCGACGACACTCCCCGCCGCTCAGCTCGCAAGCGTGTACCCGTGGAAGACGTTACGCACGGAAAATATAGCGGGGGATCGATAAACTGCACGTAGATTCGCGTACGTGTGCAACCCCATACACGGGCAAGCAGGTGCATGCGCCCCGTGCAACGCATGCAAACGTACGTGGGGTGCATCGATGAAGCGCCGCCGTCGGTGCGACCAATATATGGAGCAAAATCGGATGGTGTGTACGAAATACGGGCTGACAACGCGCCCACATGGCGTACGTCGTTCAGATTTCGTTCGTCTTTGGCGGAACGAAAGCGGGTCGGGGTAAATGCAGCGGCGATCGCGAGCGAACTGTCAAGAAGCAACAGTGATCGTGATACTGTCGCATAAGGAGAATATTATAATTCTCTCTTTTCATGTCTTGTTTTGATATCCTTTTCAATTTTATCATTTCTTTACTAGTAGTGCTGCAATTGACTGCCAGTAGAGGAGTTTATTTCGCTGCAGTAAATAACGTGCAGCAAATTTTCTAATTTTAATAATAATAATTAATAATATATATATATATATATATATATATATATATATATATATATAATTTTAATAACTAAATAATAATTTTTAATTTTAATAACTTCAATTACACCATTGAGTTACTATTTGGTAAATAATTTTTTAAAATGTGTTCTTAAAGGTTCTGTTCTGAACAGCTATGCTGTTCTGTAAGTTCTGCTGTTCAATTTCTCAAGTATAAATAGCACATACGAGGAGAATAAAAGCTTATCAGGGAAAAGAGTAGTCTTTTTTAACTTCAATTACATTATAAAGTTGCCATCTAATAAATAGCTCTTCAAAACCAACAATAAACTTCAATATCTAAGATATAAATAGCATGTAATGAAATAAATGAAATAAATGTAATGAAATAAATTAAATGAAAGAAAAAAGAAATGTGGGTAAGACACACGTCGACGTATTTCTCGTTTACAAAACTCCACTGCAATTTTTGCTGTGAAATTCTCACCGTGTGTAACGCGCAATTGTACGGTCATTGCAATGGTCGCTCATTAATGATCCCGTGATATTCGTTGGACGTGTAGCGACCGCGCGCTCGAACAATTTTGTAGGAGCTATTAGTCGGATCGCCAAAGGCTAATGTCACGTGTGATTCAGCGTAACAATTACCTCGATTGACCCCGACGACACTTTGCGCACTTGCGTGGGCAGCCGGTCATTTTCAAATCTTGTGAACTTTATGACGAGTTCTTTGTGTTTTCAATTCAGTGCTTCGAGATAACTTTATTTTAAAACTCTATTGACGTACAGAGTCCACACATGGAATTCCGCAACTAGCAGCAAACCCATGTCGTGATCTGGAACGTGAATAACTTAATTGTCGATTTTATTCGCTCAACGTAAAGATCGGGTACTTGCATCGCATGTATTCCAGCCGATATCGGAAGTCCGGCGACAGATGGACGTGACGCTGGAAATAAAATAATAACAATAGAAGCAGCGAGATAGGCGCGGTTCCTCTTCTTCGTTAGACCTCGGAAGAAATCAATTAATTCGTCAACGCGGTAGGGCGCGGAAATCGGGGTGGGGGATGAACTTTTCCCGATTGCCGAGCACAGCGAAAAGAAGAAGGGGGAAACTCTAACCTTTCTCCCTTGTGCCGGACTGAAGTCGCTGTTTGTATTTATTTATGATGTCTGAAAACTCGCCCGAAGTGTAAAACGCAGGAACGAAGAAGCTACTCCCTTTTTCTTCTCCCCGGCGCGGGCGAAGCTGAAATACATAACACGATTAAGGGTGCGCTTTGTTATTGGGGAACCCCATTTAAAGCACCCGGGCGAGGTGTTGAATTTTTGATGCCGTATCGCTCCGATTTGCACGAAGGATCGGCGCCGCGATATGGGAGTCGTAAAAGGATTGCGGCGATCGGGGTACCAGTTAACTCGTATCGCGTCGTCTGGCCGGCTAGACGGAATAATTTCGGTCGATCGAAAGCCGTCTCGAAGTTCTCGAGAGTTTCGGCTGGAAGATTTCTCGTCACCGCCCACGCTCCCGCCACATTACGTCCGATAAATCGGGACTACGCCGTCGTTATCGGGACAAGTCGTCCTTCTGCGACAGTGCCCGTTCGTTTGGCGATTGGTCTAACGATCAGTTACATCAGAGCAAAAAGCAGATAAAGATAAAAGGTAGAAGAAAGAGACGATACCGTCCAACTTCTCGACGTAGTCAGAAATCCGAGATGTAAACAATAAGATTTAAATGATTCTCGAAATGTTTTATACACGGTGTCTCATATTTCTTGCATATTCTCTACCATTTTGTAAACAACCACGTAGATTTTCGAGTTATTAATTAAAGAAGATAGGTTAATCGCAACGTTATTCTTTAATTGATAATTGATAAAGGGCTTTTTGTTCAGTTTGACCTACTCTACATGTACACGAAGTATGGGACTTTGCGTCAGAACCTATACATATGTACACGTGACTACAAAGCGACTATGTTATATTTCAACTTGGTATTTCACCAAAAGAAAGAAAGAGAAAGAATATATTTTCCTCAAAGAAGAAAGCGCTCTTTTTCGTCACTGTTGGAGTCACTCCCTTATCGCCTGTCCTAAATCTTTCTATACTTCCGTATCTTGAACGCGTGACTTGGCACAACTTTTATACGACTCGACGCACCGCTCACTCACGTCCTAAAACACTTTGAAGCGCGAGGAATCACGTCACCCCTCGCGGAAAAGAGAACGGACGAGTCCAGAAATGCCTAATATGAATTCTTAATCGAGACCCCGAGAGACTCCACGCCATGGTCGGAACAGGCAAGTACGCAGGTAAAGTGAAATTACCTTGGCGACTATTCCGCAACTACCCTCCGCGCGTATATTACACCACGTGCAAGCGTCACACGAGCGAGCGTGAGCTCACGCGATGTACACGAGGTACACACCGTGTTCCCGGTTTAATCGTCCTGCTCGCGCTGTTCCAGCTGCGGAAGCCAGTGTCGACTCTCTCGATCCCGGGGGCGATGAAGAACAGTGGCGGGGTGGCCGGCGGGGGCGGCTCGGGGGCGGCAGGGGTGGCTGCCGGCTGCGGCAGCGCCGGGGGCGCCGGTGCCGGCGAGGACCCCGGAGTCTCCCTCGTGAGCGTCCACAACGAGTATCCCCGTTACATGGACGATCGCATGCTGGCCGGCGGTGGTGGCTCCCTTAAGGGTCAGTCCGGTGGCAGCATCGGGCCCGGGTCCAAGCACAAGCCGAACGTCGGCTACCGGCTGGGCAAGCGGAAGGCCCTCTTCGAGAAGCGCAAGCGCATCAGCGACTACGCCCTCGTGATGGGCATGTTTGGCATCATCATAATGGTCATCGAAAACGAACTGTCCAGCGCCGGCATTTACAGCAAGGTGAGTGTGCTTCCCGAAGTCGCTCGTCATCTCAGCGCATTGATCCCAGCTATATGTGTGCTTGGGTATACAATTCCTTTCATTATGAGAGCTCAGGAAAATCGATGGGTTAAGGTGGTAAGAAAATATTTGGTTTACATTTAAGACTTTGAGAAAAGTGGATCGAGGGTCGCGTCGAAGCCCTCAATTACACGTAGAAGTCTATTTTTGGATATGATCCTTTCCATTTTGAGAACTTTGGAACATGGATAGCTCGAGGTGATAAAAACATTGGGTTAAAATTTAAGAATTTGAGAGAAGAGAATCATACCGCCGTGGGTCGCGCGTTAAATCTCTCACGTAGAGAGAGGCCTACTTTTGAGTATATAATCTTTCGCATTTCGAAGACTCTGGAAAATCGATAGCTTGGTGGTAAAAAAAGGATTTTGTTTATATTTAAGAGTTTGTGGAAAGTGATCACACCATGGATCGCGTTGAACTCCTCGATTAAACGTAAATATGTATTGTAGATGAATATCATAAATAAGCGTGAAGCTTTCCAGGTAGTGGCGTTCGCAAACTTATACCCACTGGCCATCCGATTAATTCACACTTGACCCGCTAATAGGCCAGTCAAACTTTCGCCGAGGTTCTCGTAAACTCGCCTGAGTCGTTCACTCGCGTGCGGGAATAAACTTGTCGGCAATTCAGAAGTTAAATACCGAAGGCGCGTGTCACGATCTCGGCAGCTTAGTTGGATCCCGTTCGCGATACCGCAAACACGACGTTTGCAAACTGAAGAGTTGGTAATCGAATTAGCGGAAGAATGTCGCTGTCGAAAATTCGACGAGTAAGTTTGTCCACGAAACTACGAGTTTCCAACATTCATGTGCACCTGTGTTTTGCCGACTGTTTGTTTCTATTATCGCTAACAGAAAGAGAAAGAATTTGAGAAAACCTCAACATCAATCAATCCATTGTCTGATGTGAATCGATCATGTAAAATCGATCGTGTAAAATCGATAGCATTTCAACCGGTTGTAGAATGCACGTTGTGCGCGTTACGAGAACAATAAGATAAAAATTGCATTTAAATTTCGTCTATTGTAGGTCATCGGACAATTGTGTAATTCACACAACAAAGTCATCACAAATGATCACAAATAATTCACAACAGTTATAAGTTCGGTATTTACGTGTCTATAAATATAGTCGCACGGCTTATTCAACCTGCTTTATCGCGGCCTCTCCCTTTCTCTCAGAGATCCTCTGAATAAATTACGGGAGTCGCTGATAAATGATAAAAGTTCACAATTGAGTCCGAGGAAAGCGAAGATCGAGACCATTCGCTGAATATTTATCACCAGTCGGAATGCTCTGTGGCGAAACGTTAATTCATTCGCCATCGATCACGACCCTCGAAGTCGCGTGAAAAGTGCAAAACGATGTAGCCGCGTGAATATTACACCAGCCGCGCGTCGAAAAGGGCACAGCAGCGGCTGGATTTTATTCTTGAAGGAATTCTTCATCGATTTCTCCTTCTGCAGAGGTTTAGCGCGTCGCTACCGCTTGTTCTCGAGCCGACTCTTTTATTTACAAGTCTGAATAATTGCTGTCGAAAAGCATCGATGCTGAATTGAAATAAATTTCGGAAAAACGAACAAGATGTGAGTGAGTGAGTAAGTGAGTGAGTGAGTGAGTAAAAGAGAGAGAGAGATAGAGAGACCGAAGATCGCACACGACTTCGTGGAATTTAAATCACGAAATAGATCTTACGTTTCAAAATACTGCAAAGATAGCAGAATTTCGAGAACTTGAAGATCGGAAAACCGGAGAATTTTTCATATTTTCCAGTCGGGTGGCTGAGGAGGGATTTGCTATCTTAAATTTTTACACCAATATATACCCTCTGAAAATTCTCGCTGATCGATGCTCGCGATGAAATATCTACGGAAGAACGAGGACGACCTTCTAGGTCTACGTAGAGAGAACGGCTTATCACGTAAATCTCCTAGGCACATAAAAAGAACTCCCTGGAACACCCTGTAGGCGTGTATCGCGCAAACTGGGAGAAACCCGCCGACAGTCGTCTCAGCTCCTTTCAACCCCGAGGAGATTCGCGCTCGAGCGGACGCGACGTGAGATGAAGACCTCCGCGACGGCAAATGTATACACGACACTAGCATTCGCTCCTGCTCCGAACAATTCTCACAGGATGTAGATCGAGCCCTTTCCCCGCGTCCCACGTATCGTTATCCTTTCACATCCCATCCCCTAATCCGCCGTCTCAACACGGTAAGGTGGAATCAATGCTGTCAGGGTGCTCATGCTGTCACGGATAACAACTTTTTCGTTGTACGACAAGACTCGCGACGTGTATTTGAATGATAGATCTCCCCCGTTCATGCAGAACGTAGTAGCAAGTTCAAGGACTCGGCGATCGAACAGATATCGACGAAAAATAGTTGACAAGTGAACTTTGTGAGCTAAGAGTTCCTGAGTATAACAGCAAACGGAAAATGAAAAACTTCGAGGACCACTAGGGAAATTTCCAAAATTCGCGGAAAATATGGGAAACTCCAGAATGTGCCGAGAGATAGAAATTCCTAGATACAAGCTCGAGAACAAAAAACGATTTTTTAATATTTAAATTTACAAAATCTACCGCGAGTTGTAGACTTTAGTTTCTAAAACCTTGGAGTGCGACGTAAGATGTATGAAATCCCAAAACACTAAAATGCACCAAGAGGCAGAAATTCTCAGAGATACAAGAAGAGAACTCAGAAAAAAATTACAATCTCTCAATTTTTAATTTTACGAGGTCTAGCGCGAATTCCAGTATTTAACAATTTAAAGGTCTTAAAGTGCGACGCTTTCAAATGAAAATCGACTCACGTGCTTGGGGATTTGAGAATCCCCATTTTCCACTGTTCCCAGGAATCCGAGGTTCTAAGACGTCGTTTACATTCACTAATCGAGAGCCATAAGATCCACTTGATAGATTCCTAATTAGCATGTATAGTGCACGATGGACGACGCATTAATGCGTGCGCCTGCACTCAATAAGTGCATCGAGAATCTCGGTTCGAGCATCTCGCCGGGTGCAAACGTACGTACACTGCTAATGCATCTAGTCTCTAACTGTATCGGAAGTGTACCACCTTACTGCGGGTTGCTACCATCGTGGATTAAACCCTTCATTTAGGACAATCAAATTGATTCACATGGCCGGTAATGAATCGAAGGGCTCGCAATGAAACGATCTATCGGGACCGGTTAGATTCTTGGCCGATAGACCATTTCTCCAATTTCACCGTCGGACGATAGAATAGTCTCGGGCTTTTCGCAATCGGAGGATCTCACAACGAGCATAAGGAATCCGTGTTGAGAGCCTGCCCATCGAGGAGGGTAAATCCGACTTCATTAAAATTCGTCTCGCGTTCCTCCGCAACAATTTCGAAACTTATGAACGCCCGGACACGCGGAATTTGAAAACAGTTCGTGCTAAAGCGGTAGAAATGTTTCTCTACGAGCATTCCAACCATTTCCATTTGTAATGCGGGGGTAACACCAAACGCAAACAAGGACCTGTGAAATGTTTTATGAAAAGCTCCTTGATTGATAACGAAATACACGACGCTCGCGATGTGATTCGAAAGCCTAAGCTCAGCGAGATCGAAGAAGCACGCTTGAGAATAAGCTGTATGCGAAATGGAAACGACGGAATTCACAAGTACACGCTTCAACTTCTTTCGTTCTTACCTCGTTTTTCTCATAAATCGCCGGATATTCTGTATATTCGGTATACTCTAAGTTATCTCTCGAGCAATGGCGTGAGATAAAGAAAGTATCGAAAAATGTGCGAAAAGAATTCATAAGAATCTGAATCGTGGCTCCTATCGTGTATTTCTAATTTCTCAATATTTAATATTAATACTAAGTATTAATATTTAGATATTAGATAATTAAAAATAATAAAAGCTACGATTTTTTGAAATCGTAGCTTCTTGTGAAATACTTACTTAGTATTAATACTAAGTACTAATATATATGCCAAATATTACTAATAATAATAATGTTAATATAATTGAAGTACTAATGTTAATAATAATAATTGAAGAAAAAATATTAGTTAAATTAAGATAACAATAGCACAATTAAACGCGTTTTTGTTGAAGGAAACAGAATGTCTAATTCTTAAGAATTGAATTTAGTCCATAAGAATCAGAAATATCTCTTGCTCTTTTTACTTGTGCCATTATCATCTTAATTTAACCAATATTTTTTCTTCAATTATTAATATTAGTACTTTAAGTATACTATAATATTACTACTATTAATAATACTTAGTATTAACGCTTAATACTTAATAAATATTTCACAAGGACTGTAAAATCATAGTTTCTATTATATTTTTAATCATCTAATATTAGTATTATAATTAGTATTATAATTAATACTTAAAATATTAATTCATGTTTAAACCATATATTATTTCAACCAATCTTTTTCCCCGTGCTATATACTTCTAACGCTAATATTAATACCCAACTAAAAAGCACGTGTGAATGTACAATTTTTCAGAGACACAGTTTCTTTGTTACTGTCCAGTAATTATCACACACATTTAATATATAGAATTTATTTTCAGTCAGATGAAATATTACCGCGACCTCGCGGCAGAATCCGCGAACGTTATCGACTAAAAATGGTCCGGCGCGTCGATGTGCCGGATATAACGAGCGGATATTCAAGACGGCAATGACAAGCGCGAGACATCCTGTATATCCCCTCGGTATCGAGAGCTCGGTTCGATATCGCGATTGCGAAGGAGAGCCGCCTTGACCCGGCCTATCCTTTTTCCCGATGTTGAGTAGAAAAGCTCGTCCCCAGAGCGTTTTCGGCCGAAAGCTCGCGAGTGTCTTTTCGCTTCTACGCGACGTCTATATTTATTCCGATCCCAACGGGAATATTTCCCCCTGAAAGAATTTCCCTAGGCACCGTCGCGAATCTCATTGTTG